CCACCTCTGACTCCGGCATCTTTGTGGCAATCGAAGTGGGGGACTCAGTTCGCAGTCCCAAGTCCTGCGCTACATCCTCACGCACTTCTTGCGATGCTGGATCCGCCACACTCTCCCCCCACCCGAGCCAGTCATCCAACCAGCCATGCACCGCGAACCAATTTGTCCCTTCCTCCGATTTTGCCTCAGATCTTGTCTCAGAGGCTGCTTCGGGCTGTACCTCAAGCTTTGCCTCGGGCACTGCATGTTTCGAGGCTGCCTGGGCCTCTGTAGGAGCACCTGCGTGATTTGCTGGAGCCGGCTGGCTGGGAAGAGGCGCACGTGTCGTTGGGGCGACAGCAGCCCGGGCACGTTGCTGCGTGGCTGTGGTCATCTGTTTCTGGGGATGATCCACATCCCATTGCGCCACTCCCGTTTTGAGATTCAATCTGAAATGTCGACCGGAGGGATCGGTGAAGTCCTTCCAAGTTGCACTGTCCGGTGCAGACTGCTCGCTTGGAGTCCTGGCAGGCATCTGATTCGTGTGTTTGGTTGACGGCTCAGATTTTCCTCTATGGGGGGCCTAATAACACACAATTCTAAAATGGAAGTTTGCAATGCTATCGAATGTGAACTAAAGCTTCATGTCAACATTGCTCTGTAAGTCCTGCTCTTCAGCACAGCCAGAGAACTGCAGGGCAGCAGCAGGGCAACTGCCCACTGCAGCCACTTCATTGGGCCTCAGCAGCAGGTGAGATGCTAGCAGTGAAAAGAAGACGGTTTTGGGATTGTGGGTTTAGGGCGAGAATGGGGGAATAAATTCTCTTAGTCGGCATTGCTGAGAGACGCGTCGGGGAATGCGTCCTCTCATCCCTATTACTACACAAAGCTCGTTCAGGGGCTGACGTGACCTGGGTAGATGGCAGCTTGGCTACCACAGCAGGACGTTGGGGAGCCGACCGTCAAAGCTGCCGTACTCATGCAAACGGCAACAGTCTTGAGCTGAAATATTTGGCGGCACAGGTCTCAAGCGACAACTGGGCGTTTCACCTCCGTCAACCCTTTTTGAATTGTCATCGTGCGACTCTAGCGAGGTTAGGCTGTCCAGGGCCTTCAACACGCACATCAGCACTGCTCTAAAAATCACGGTGGTCAAATTCCTGGCAAGTCTGGCATGCAACCAAAGCTTTGCAAAACGCGCAGCGATTTATTCGGCGTTTTGAGGTCTTCGAGCATTGGACACGTAGGCTTCGCATGGTCGGTCCTTCATCGCAGCAGAAGATCACCAGCTCCCATGTCATGAGACAACGTATCCAGAATGTCTCCAGTAAGCAGACTTGGCTTGCAGCGCGCCCAAACGTCCCGGCTGACAGCCCACGGTGCACCACGCAGGGCGCATGTTGCAGGCACACAGGTGTCACCAAGCTCTCAGAATCCCTGCTTTTGTACAAAGTTCAGGCTGCAGAGTGCAGAGCATTCACACCTTCGATTAGCAGGCCCTGCGGCTCCCCCTCCTTCCCACGCACGCACAACAGATGAGCGTGGTGGGCACCATTTGTGTCAAAGCCATGGGCGCCGCCATGGTAGGAGACCGGCGCATCCTCCGCCCCCCACATGGACAGCAAGAACCACTCCTCAGATGCATGTGTAGTGTCACATCTTCAACAGCCTGAGAACACACTGGGATTCTCTAGCAACATATGCCCAATTCCTTTCGTAAAACACAAATCTTATCTACGACAGCTACGAAACACAAATGTTATCTACAACAGCAATACGAAGAAAGTGTGGGATATTAGTTGGCCATAAATTGGGTTTCCCAATTCACGCTCTAGCATCTCCACTCTTTGCGAAGGTGCTGTGGCAAACTTGCAATGCACGTCCTATCTGGGAGGGTCCCAGTAAGCTCTCGCCCATAGTCCAGAAGAGTACCTCAAAAATCCGGGCAAGAATGGTGCGCTGCCCCATTGCTTGCATGATGCTATGGAAACAAAGGTGAGTAGAGCGAGGATTAGCGGCAGGTATATTCTTAAAAAATATGGTCACAAATTGTGCTCATCTTTCCAAAAAAAACATGGGCCCAAATCAAGGAATGGACCCACATCTCAACAACTTGCAGATAAGCAGCAAATCTGGGCTATGGGGGCTATATCTATATTTATATATACATGTATATGCGTCAGCATATATGCTCACGCAGTACTCTCCCCGGACTACCCGGAAGCCCAAGAAGGCGTCCTACAAAGCCTACTGTCCTTTTGAAAGGGTGCCAAATTCGCTTCCATGCTTGTTTGTAGTCCTAGGGGGCTCGGTCCCAAGCCATGAAATAGGGCTATACGCAATTTAGGATTTAGGGCAAGTTTAGGATTTAGGATTATAGGTTGACGTGTAAGACGAGTCTATAACAAATATGTTGGGGGCTTAATCAGGAGACTTATAGCCCTACTTTGTAGTACCCTGCACGGCCAACAATCATGCCTCAACACTAAACTCTGAACACTACACCTTGGGTTAGGCGTCCAGGAATACTGGTATAGTAGGAACATGTCGGGACCCTCTTAAACTTACCATTCTCTGTCGTAGTCTCCCAGGCTCCAGACTAGACCCTAAACCCAAAGTCTGTATCGGACCCCCCCGAAAGGACCAGGCCAAAAGGACCAACTACTTGGGAGGGCCAGGGGGACTTAGTGACCGGATTAATAAGGGGGATAAGTACGGTTATTAGGGGTTTTTCACCCACCTGCGAAGTCCCCCTGACCGTCCAAGTAGTCCATAATCAACTGGCATGAGCCTCTATCTCCCAGAACGGTTGCGCACTGGACATTCTAAGTCCTTTCATCCGTCTAATCAGGGATTGGGTAGACTCAGCATCTGATGCCCTCAACCGGTTTAGGGTTTAGGGTCCCTCAACCCTAAACCCTGAACCCATCGCTGCAGTGCTTTTGCCTCCTTATCTGCTCCAGCATCTGACACCTCCACAAGGCCAGAAATCCAGGCTATGACTTAGGGGTTTCCCAAAATTAGGAGTACCATTTTAGGGGTCCCAATAATAAGGACTATAGTATTCTGGGGTCCATATTGGGGGTCCCTTATTTTGGGAAACTACCACATAGGTTTTAGGGCTTTAGGAATTTAGTTGAACTGTACGGCTTAGGGCTTTTAAGTCTTAGGGTTTTTCAGAGTTAGCAGCAATGACAAAATAGCAAAAACAAAAATGCCAATAATCATGATGGCGGCCGGTGGTTCTAGGAAAAAGCAATAGCCGTAGTAGTTGCGCGGTGGTAATAGCCAGAGAAATAGCATCAATAATACACGCAATACTGGCCAAGGTACAATTAACAGTAGTACTAATAGTAACAGCAAACAACAGAGAGTAAGAGATCGTAAGCGTACTACTGTCTGCGTCTGCTGCTGCTGCCGCTGCCGCTGCCGCTGCCAATGCCGCCGCTGCCGCTGCCACTGCCG